CCTCCCGCCCACGGGATGGGTATGGTGTACATAATAAATGAAGGAATAGTGTGTGCTCCCGAGGGTGGAGTGATGGGGAGGGCGCGGGTGGGGGCGGGAGGGGGGGAAGGAACCCAAGCCACAATGACCTCACCAATGTAAACAGACAGCTCCTTCCTCCTCGTCTGACGCTCTTGGTGATACTTCCACTCATTCATTCAATCTCTCTCCCCCCTCCCACACACCCTCGCCCTCTATCCCCACCACACACACCCTCGCCCTCTACCCCCACCACACCCTCGCCCTCTACCCCCACCACACCCTCGGCCCTCTACCCCCACCACACCCTCGGCCCTCTACCCCCACCACACCCTCGGCCCATCCCCCACTTGCAACACTTAGTGTGCAGGTGGTGACCCCTCACACACAGAAACTACATAACAGGGACGACAGTGGCTCATAATATGTGGGGTTTAATGACAACGGGACGAGCAAAGATTGCTGTGATATAAACAACATGAAGATCTAGACATGAATATTATAGGAACACATTGGTAACTATTAATATAATAGAGCAGCTTTTGTCGCGTGCCGGAAGGGATCCAGACTGTTAATCATGAGTGACTTCAACCATGCAAAGATAGAGTGGGAGAACAGAGAACAACATGGAACCACAGTTCACCACAGTGTACTGAGATTCGAGTATCGGGTCTAAGTAGGAATAACCTACCCATGGAAGGACCAGAAAGCAAAGGGCTGGCATACCAAAGGGAGATTATGATGACATGAGGAAATTCCTTATTGAAATACCACGAGAAACTAAACGCAGAGAAAAGTGTTTACACGACATGATGGACTTCATCACCCAGTAGTGGCAGGAGGCAGAAGGCAAGTTTATCCTGACCCAAAAGAAAAAACTTTGAAAAGCAAAAAAATAAATCCATGATTCAGTCAGGCATGTGAGGCTGCAAGGTAATTACGTACATGAACGTGGAGGAACTACAGAAAAAAAACAAAACACCAGAGAGCGATAGAGAAATGTCAGAAGGCCAGGGATGAGTACCTCCGAGTGAGAAAAGAAGCAGAGAGGCAGTATGAAAGTTACATAGCAAATAAAGCCAAGACCAACCAAAACTGTTCTACAACATTAGGAGGAATGCAGCAGTGAAAGAACAAGTGATTAAACTGAGAAAGGGAAAAGACAAGTACACAGAATGACAGAGTTGTATGAAAAACTTCACAAAAGATTCCAGGAGGTCTTCACTGTAGAGCAAGAAGTTTCTGAATAAAGAGAAGTGGCAGTAAACCAAGAAACTTTGGTAGAATTTGAAATTACCAAAGATGGGGCTATATAAGAGGCATCTGCTGGAGCTGGATACAACAAAAGCTGTTGGACCTGATACCATGGATACTAAAGTGAGGTCAGAAGCTGTATGAGTGCCATTCTCTGTGGCATATAATAGGTTACTGGAAACAGGAGGCCTACCAGAACGTTAAAAGACAGCTACTATAATTTCAATATATTAAAACGGTGACAGGTAAGAGGCATTGAACTACTTTCCGGTGTCCCTAACTTGTATACCATACAAAGTGATACAGAAGATCCTGATAAAAAAAAAAAAGTTATAGTGTGTTGGTGGTGTAACGCACTCTCAGCATGGGTTCAGGGATGGTAAATCATTGCTCACAGGTTTAATAATATTCCATGACAAGGCGACTAATTAAGCAAGAAAGAGAAGGGTGGACAGACTGCATTTTTTTTTTAACAGTCGGAAAACCTTTGACGCAGTAACCCCTACTTATGTTGGTGCATAAGTTGGAGAAACAGGTTGTAGTATCGAGTAAGGTGCTCCAGTGGATAACAGAGTACCTAAGCAACAGAGAATAGCGAATTACTGAGAGGGGCAAGACCTCAAAATGGAAGATGTCACCAGCGGGGTCCCACAGGATTCTGTACTCGGACTCATTCTGTTTCTGATATACGTAAATGATCTTCAAGAGGATATAGACTCATTCCTCTTAATATTTGCTGATGATGCTAAAGGTATGAGAAAGATTATGACAGAGGAAGATAGCAAAAGACTACAAGATGACCTACGTTGCAACGTTACCTATTTTTCGACCTGAACAAATTGAAGGAAGACGCCAACAAATGGCTACTAGAGTTTAACCCAAGTAGGTGTAAAGTAATGAAAATAACTGTAGGGAGCAAGAGGCCGGACACAAGGAGCCAAATAGGAGTTGAGATCCGTAAGGCATCAAGTAGAGAGTAGACTTGAAGGTTGATATTATACCGAACATGGCCCCTGAAGCCCACACTAAAAGGATATCATCAGCGGCAAGTGCTCGATTGGACAACGTAAGCACTACATTTAGAAACTTGTGTAAGGAATCATTCAGAACCTTGTATACCACATGTCAGACCAATCCTGGAGTATGCAGCTCTAGCCTGGAGTTCATATATATTAATTTAAACACAAAATGAGGTTAGAGAAAAACTTAGAGGTATGCCTCCAAACTAGTTCCGGAGCTGATCGGTATGAGTTACACGGAAAGGCTACTGGAATTAAACCTCACGTCACTGGAAGACAGAAGATGCAAGGGTGGGACATGATTACTGTCTACAAAATTTTCGGAGGAATTAACGGGTAGATAAAAATAACCTATTTAGCACAGGTGGAACAATAACCAGGGAACACAGGTGGAAAATTATTACTCAAATGAGCCACAGAGACACAGGTATTATAAAAAAAAATTAAGTGTCAGAATGGTTAACAGTTGGAATGCATTAGAAAATAATGTGGTGGAGGCAGACTCCATATACAGTTTTAAATGTAGATATAATAGAGCGCAGTAGGCTCAGGAACCTATACACCAGCTCTGCAACAAATGTGTAAATATGTCATTCAAAATAATCTACTACCAGAAATTTTAGTAAAATATCCCCAGCTTGTTATCTGTAAGTTGTAAGTGTAAGTGAGTGTGACCTTCCCCCCCCCCCACCGCCCACTCACTGGGGAGTGTGCATATTAAGCAAATCAACTTATGAAACGATCTCACCGCATGAGTAAGTTGCTGAGTTTAGAGACTGTGCTTGTGCTCCTTCTCGAAGCCATTGTTGACATATACATTGAACTGTGTAACTGGCGTATCAGCACTGAAACTTGCTACGCTAAATGAACTTTGGAGTTCAGTTGTTGAGCCCATTATGTGCCTCTATAACCTTTTCCACTTCCTCCCACAGGATGGGTATGGGGTGAATAATAAACGAACTGAACTTCAGCATCTCTCTCTCTCTCTCTCTCTCTCTCTCTCTCTCTCTCTCTCTCTCTCTCTCTCTCTCTCTCTCTCTCTCTCTCTCTCTCTCTCTCTCTCTCTCTCTCTCAGAGAGAGAGGGGAGCCTCGTAGCCTGGTGGATAGCGCGCAGGACTCGTAATTCTGTGGCGCGGGTTCGATTCCCGCACGAGGCAGAAACAAATGGGCAAAGTTTCTTTCACTCTGAATGCCCCTGTTACCTAGCAGTAAATAGGTACTTGGGAGTTAGTCAGCTGTCACGGGCTGCTTCCTGGGGGTGGAGGCCTGGTCGAGGACCGGGCCGCGGGGACACTAAACCCCCGAAATCATCTCAAGATAACCTCTCTCTCTCTCTCTCTCTCTCTCTCTCTCTCTCTCTCTCTCTCTCTCTCTCTCTCTCTCTCTCTCTCTCTCTCTCTCTCTCTCTCTCTCTCTCTACATAAACGACATAAATATTACATTATAAAACTGTCCCTGACTGTTGCTTCTGCAAATGCTGTATTACAACCACGCACACTGTCCTGGAGGTGAGGTTAAATATTTAATGCTGCCCATTGCTGCTATCAGGAGGTCTAAGCTCTCTCTGTGTGAGCCAGACGAGAGTGACTATATAGGGTACCATTGTAAAGACGTTACTGTCACCGTCTGTGCCTCAACACCTCAATGTAATCAACTAATTATTTCTCACGGGACCAAGTAACGTGTACCAAGGAGTGTACACAAGACCAAGTAACGAAGAGTGTACACTGTGAAGGGGTGTTTGTTTTCTACAGCTGAGTGCCAATGTGTACACTCCAGAGAGTGCACGAATGCACCACTGAACTTAAGTTTATAAATTCGTGGATGATCTATATAGTGTTGGATGTCGTATCGCTCCATCCAGTTAACACCTTGTGTTAACACCATGTGTTAATTATTGTTGGGCGGTGAGGGGAACTTTAAGGACCATTGAGAGAGGACTTAAATTTCCTTAAATAAAGACTGCGTGGGGAGAGTGTGATGGCACTGTAACGTACGGCAGAAAGCCCTGGGGTACCTGCAGCGCCGCGAATCTTTGCCGAAACGTTGTGTATAAATCGCCGAACTTCGGGCCGCCAGCCGTCAGTCCTTTTGTTGAGCCGCTATCTAATGGCTTGAGCACCTCCTTGTCCGCGGAGCTGGTACGATAACACAGGTGGAAGTGACGGTGTCCTCCGAGACCCCGCCACCTACGGTGACTACAGGACGGTGCGAGTGTCTGATTATAGTGCGAACGATCCGGTAACAAAGTACTCCAATACAACCTTACTGCTTCCATGTTTAATTGCCTCACGCGAGGTAATCTCGTATGAACTCCCCAATACTACCACACGACGAGTGAAACGCCGCCAACAGGCGGGATTTTGAAGTACGAGGACAAGCAGCTAAAATACGTGACTCGCCTGATTAAAGACTAAGAGTTGTCCCTGACCCCTGTATGGCTCGTTAAGGAGACGGCCGTGAAAGTAATTACATGCGCCACACGTACAGTTAGAACACTAATTGTTCTACGTAGCTGTCTGGTTATCATTCCTTGAGGGAAGCCAACCTCTGTGAGGACATCACCTAGACAAGTTGACCTTGGTGTGTGTGTGTCGCTGCTACGATAACATACTGTTTAAGATAGCTGGATGCTAGCAGTCTGTCTTAGGCTTCATTGTTGTCTTTCAAGAGTACACTCCTATAACTCGCTTAATTATCTTCCACAGGACCAAATATCGGAAGGTGTACCAGGATAGAGAAGAGGTCCACACCCACACTGTCTTCGCCTGTTGTCCCGGCTGGTCCACACAGGTTAGTCCAGGTCACTAATGGTTCCACCACTAGGGTCCAGGTCGCTAATGGTTCCACCACTAGGGTCCAGGTCACTAATGGTTCCACCACTAGGGTCCAGGTCGCTAATGGTTCCATCACTAGGGTCCAGGTCACTAATGGTTCCACCACTAGGGTCCAGGTCACTAATGGTTCCACCACTAGGGTTCAGGTCACTAATGGTTCCACCACTAGGGTCCAGGTCACTAATGGTTCCATCACTAGGGTCCAGGTCACTAATGGTTCCATCACTAGGGTCCAGGTCACTAATGGTTCCATCACTAGGGTCCAGGTCACTAATGGTTCCACCACTAGGGTCCAGGTCACTAATGGTTCCATCACTAGGGTCCAGGTCACTAATGGTTCCATCACTAGGGTCCAGGTCACTAATGGTTCCACCACTAGGGTCCAGGTCACTAATGGTTCCATCACTAGGGTCCAGGTCACTAATGGTTCCATCACTAGGGTCCAGGTCACTAATGGTTCCATCACTAGGATCCAGGTCACTAATGGTTCCTTCACTAGGGTCCAGGTCGCTAATGGTTCTATTACTAGGGTCCAGGTCACTAATGGTTCTATCACTAGGGTCCAGGTCACTAATGGTTCCATCACTAGGGTCCAGGTCACTAATGGTTCCATCACTAGGATCCAGGTCACTAATGGTTCCTTCACTAGGGTCCAGGTCGCTAATGGTTCTATCACTAGGGTCCAGGTCACTAATGGTTCCATCACTAGGGTCCAGGTCACTAATGGTTCCATCACTAGGGTCCAGGTCACTAATGGTTCCTCCACTAGGCTTAAAACATGTATTAATCAGACTTGCGGAAATAGGTTTAAGCATTGATATGAATATGCATAAAGATGTATAGAGAGGTAAAGGCGTGCTGGTAAAACAGTTACCTGGCTGGTCGTGGGTGAGGAGTACTAACATCGGTGTTGTGACCGCAGGACTCAACGGAGAGAGACGAGAAGAAAGGTGGACGACGCCACAAGGACGACAAGGAGACGAGTGCCGGAAGCGACGAAGGGTGTTTCACTAGATCGGACACCTCGTCTGAAGAAGATGGAGGACGAGAGATAACACACGAGGGTCAGGTCTATCACTTGGTCGACGACTCCAAGGAAAGAAGGAACAATTCCTATTTCAAGGGCGAGCTGTATAACTTGTACAAGCTGGTGTATGGGCCAGTAGAGGCCGAACGCCTCGCCGAAAACAAAAGCTCTGAAGATGGGCCTTTTTTGGCTAATTCTCAGCCGGCTTCTCAGGGTAGCCTTGGCAACACTAGCATCAACATCAAGACTCAAGAGTACGCCAGCGACGACCCGAGTTCGCACGGACTTGCTACAGCAGGAGACCCGGACCTCTCTCAGAGACCTCTTGCTTCATCAGACACCGAAGGCACCAGCCACCAGAAGATCCAAATCACCGCCCCGCATCACCACCACAGAAGCCACCACCACAGGCGGCCCACCGAAGCTTCAGCAGCTGCCAGCCTTAGCCGCCACCACCGCTCTCGTAGCCGCCACCACCGGCGCCACAGAGGCCGCTCCCTCCCCAGCCACGACGAGGACGGGGAAGCCAAGACAGCACACGACTCAGGCCAGAGCAGTATTCGTCGCCACCTGCACAGACTTCACAAGAAGACGAACGACACAGAGGGCGATGTGTCCAGCTACATCGTCATCATGTCACCGGGTGAGCTGGCTGACATTTTGCTAAAAACTTACATCATGCTGGTTGGCGTGTGTTTGAATGATAAATTACACGTATCATTCCTATTCTTAGAATTTTCATCAAAAATACTGACACTTCTGTATTCAAATTCAAAGGTTTCATTCATATATACTTATACTTTATAAATGACAATCAATCATATAACATAAGCTGGTGATTTTTTTTCACCTTATTGTTTTTTGTAATAATTCTGAATACAAGAGTGAGGTGTATTCTCCTGGCGACAGGCAAGAGAAACGGGCGCAGGCGCGGCCAGGGAGGCAGGGAGCGGCCCGAGGGAGTGGCTGCGCAGGAGCAGGTTTCCCGCCTACAGGAGGTGGTGCAAGCGCCTCCCGGAACACCTCACAGTAAGTGCCACCTCGTGTTTTATGTCAGTCATTGTTCGCCCGCGAACTGCAGCGAGGAGGCAGCCACAAAGGAGACTCTACGAGAGATAGGCCTTATGGCTGGTGGTTGTCACAGGGGGAAGAAGAAGGGCAGAGCCTCGTTGAGCTACACAGGTGACACACCGTCACTGTTCTCTCCACAGTATCTTTATTACCGGCCCAACTCCTCTTCCCTGGTGATGAAATAGGCGCTTGACCCCCTGTGTGCACCAGCCCAAACACACAGGGACCTCGCAGCACCTCTGGGGACCCGCTGCCCTAGCGCACTATCCCTCAGAGGGCGGAAGGTAGAGCGGCAGGTGTCAATCTCGGACACCTGTCCATCCTGTTACTTCTGTGATCGTCGGTGTTCTCACCTGCGCCCAGCGCCAGAGGAAATGACTTCAGTTCTCGACACACTCCTCAGTGGTCCTCTCCAACATGAGGCTACGTCCCCGATTTAATTATATTTTTCTTCTTGTACTCAGTGGCTATTATTCTATTGGCAGGGTTTCATATATATATATATATATATATATATATATATATATATATAAGACATGGCATAACTTTAAGAAGGTTCACGGAGACAGCGTTTAAAATTGGTAACAAAAAATTACTGACAAGAGAAATACAAAAACTAAAATGACTTGTCTTGGACGGCTTCAATCGGCCGCTCTCGACCTTCAACAATAATAACTTTATTCTACTAAATTTGAAATAACATATCTCTGATACTCAGGTATAGTTACAGCAAAATAGTAAGCTTAAAACTAACCTTTCTCAAGGTTGCCAAATATCCAATGATGATACTGATCACTCAACAAAACCTTAGGCTTTACTTGTCCTATTGAAGAATTTAACCACTCAAAAACATGAACATATAATTACCCTAATCACTTTTATGTATAGGTTCGGTACATGTTGACACGTGTATATAATAGTACAATTCCTATAAGATCCTTTGGGAACTCTTATCAACAAAAGAGGGAAGGGGAGGTCAGATTATCTAGCTAAGACACATGATATCTTCAGTGGCCTGAAGCTCCCGTAGCCTCCGTGTCCACCGCTGGCAATAACGTTGAATCTTCCCTGACTCTCGTTGGCCCGTAAGATGTACCTCCCTCTGGAAGATACTAGGATGGTCGACTTCACCAGTTGAATCAGTTTCGATACTGAGCGCCGTCACAGTCTCTTCCTTATCTTTTGTAAGCTAGCCAACGATACTAATCTCTGCTTTACTCGCTCACTTCACTAGTTATCATAGGGTTGGCCAATATCGATGCACAAATATCAACAGCTTTTTCACCAGCAAAATTAAGTGAAATGCTCCCTTCCCAGGGTCGCAGTTGCCTCTTCACCGGTGAGAAAGCAATGGAGCACTTTCTTACCATATCCTTGGTCGACTTTCCACTAGTCTCTTCAACGACTACTTCTTGTGGATTAACACACCGGCTCGCGTCTACCTCCGACACTCAGTAGTCGGGACTGCTGACTACTGAGCCACCAGGCTTCGACGGCTAGTCCATCCACGTTCATCTACCTGGGCCGAAATGAGGGTACTTACATCTCCTCTCAGTGGACCCAGCATGATGTCGAGTGCCTTACACTCTCAGCTGGTTAGGTTAGGTTAGGTTAGGTCAGTGAACCCAGTGTAACACTGTAAAAGTGTTTGAGTTAGTTTATTTAAAATATACAGAGAGTACATGAGTCACAGACAAGGATCGGAGAGGCGCCAGTTGTCTGCCTGAGATCTCACACCTCTAACCGTTAACGACCCCAAGTGACCTGAGGTCAGATCATGAGAATTTCACCTTGCTTCCGCTAAGCTCTTAATTGGAGCCGGGTAGCCTTCAAACATGCCGACGTTTAAGGAGTGGCTTGGTAGTGCCGGAGGCTATCTACTTGTGGGCGGAGTTAGCTACTAGGTTCCCCAATATAAACTCGGAGAGCTATCCAGCATGAAGCATTAACAGACAGAACAGACAGAACGGCAGTCAGGATTGCAGAAGAGACGGCCTAGCAGGAAGGCTGTCGGCCGGCAGGGCGGGAGTCTCCGTCAACTACAAACCCCCCCCCCCCTCTCTATTCAACTTAGACTCAGTCCTCGGTGAGTGAACATTAAGGTGACTTGGTCGTGTTTACATATGTTGTGTGATGATCAGGGGCAGTCAAGTTGTAGGGTTCTCGAATTCTTGGATGATGACTCACTTTGCATATTAAACTGGAACATTTTAATTGAATTGCTAAATTATGATACTTCATGTGAAATATAATTATGAATTTATTATTTAAATTGTGTTTAACTTTGTTCCCTAGAGCTTTGAGTTGAGGATTTGAGAAAGCCTCTGTGGTTACTGGGTTCATGATATAAATGAGTACATGTTTGGAGTTGATACATGGTACAGAGGGAACATACTAATAATGAACTCATGATAACATCCTTTGAGAATTTTGTGATACAGGCAAGTTCCATTCCTTGTCTTGTATGTAATGATCATGAATGGATGGTGGCAGCATTTCGTCTTCTACTATCTACTCTTCTACGTCTACTATCTACTCTTCTACTTCTACCTATCTGCACCTCTCCCTCCGCCCTTCTCTAAACTCTCACTTTCAACTAATGACCCTCCTCGCTCCTCCCACCTCCCTACCTCTCACCCCAAACCCTCACTAATTACTTCACTATTCATTTCTTTCCTTTCGTTTCCTCTTATACGTTTGTGGCAGTGATTATGTATTCTAGAGTTCTCTCTAGAGTTTCGGGTAACTGATCCAGTGACGGCGCCTTGTAGTCTTAGCACCTAGGTAGTCAAATACCTAGGTTACAAGGTGTTGAACGAGAGAGGTTGCCTTAGGAACTCTGGAGGTGCTCTAGAATAGTTAGCTAACTGGGGACGGGATAACGGACAAGATAGAGCCATTTCCCCCCACCCCCCGTTACAATGTTGGCAGCGGTGTTGAACAATGTTGTAGGTAGTTGGTGTTCTTTTAACATTGTTCAGTCCCACGTGTCTTTTTGCCGCTCAGGCGCTATCAGGGAGATCTTGACAGGTGTTTTACTTTCGCGATTTAGCGAGTTTTTTTTCAGGCTAGGAGATAGTGATTCTCTAGTGTTGTGGTTTAGTGATTTTGTGAGTTTTGTGGTGTTCAGGGAATGTTCACCAGAACTTGCGTGTGTAGTGATTAATGTTAGTAATAAGATTTGGCGATTTGGGAACTTAGCGGTGTTGGTAGTGCAGGTCAGCTGAGTGTGACAGGTGACCTCGCATGTCCCACGGGGACACCCAGCCACCGCTGGTCTCCAGGTCAGTGGGGAGTGGCAGGTGTAGTTTTTAAGTAGTGGTTCTGCTCAGATTATTGCGATCGACTGTTTTACTCCATTTGAACGCAATAACCCGAGGTGTACTGGTATTGTACAGCATGCTAGGGGGAGGCTTAGTATGTCAGTAGACTTCACGTTGGGGACGCTCGACGTTAGATAGTCTGGTCACAGGGGTGGCAACAGTTTTGAGTTGTTGACCGGCGGAGAAGCTAGGAAAACACTCTGGGTCACGTAGGTGGCTGTAGGTTAAGGGTGGGAGTAACGGTTAATTATGTACTTAAGATTAGGAAAGGTACAGTTAAGTTTAGGCTAGTGTTTTGTCTATTAGTTTTGATTTTTTTTTGTGACAAGTTAAAAGTAGTGATGACCTTATTCTCTCTTCTCTAACTTTCCTCTGTTACTGTCTTATGTTCCACCAAGTCAGTATCATTCAGTGTTAATTGGATTATTTAAAAAAAAACTTAAGTGTAGTTGTTGCCAGGAGGAGAGCGGTATAACTGGACTGTGTAAACCCTATACAAACTACAGGGTCACATAACATATCTTGGGAGCACGATATTGTCGCCTTTCTGTTCATCCACAGGTGGGAGCCAGAAGAGAGGAGAGACGCACATACAAAAGAGGGAGACGGCTGCTGTGTACCATACTCACGGGCGTTTATCACCACCACCACGACCAGCCCACTACCTGGAGGTCATGGCTCCATCACCACCCCAGGGGACCCCAAGATGCAGCCCTCTCGGTCGGTCAACATTGGTCTACCCAGTGGACCCCAGGACGGACGGACCCCAGGACGGACGGACCCCAGTGGACCCCAGGTCGTTCTGCAGACGACCCCAGACGACCCAGTAATGATGGAAGAGGAGCAACAACGACTCCAGTCTGTCCCACCAACATCGGTCTACCCAGGATGGACCCCAGGACGGACAGACCCCCAATGGACCCCAGGTCGCTTGTCTAAGACCCATGGGAGGAGGAAGAGAGAAAGAAAGAAGAAAAAGAAGAAAGAAGAAAGAAGAGAGAAGAAATAGAGAGAAGAAAGAAGAGAAGATAAGACAAGCTGAGTGAGACATGATACCTAGTGTCCCTTGCTGGTGTCAGCATCATTGCATGGAGCGTAATTGCAAGACAGGATCGTTTGCCTTGACTGGCCGCCCCTCCTGCAAGCAGGTAGCTCTGTTGAGTGATTCTTCCTGTGTCATGCAGACTTGATGTGGCTGTCAGAAGTAGCTCTCTGAAGGAGGCGTGCTGGAGCAACAGGGAGGAAGAAGAGTAGGATGGGATTTCTACTGTTGGCAACTATATGAAGGTCTCGAAACTTGTAGTCCCTATAGCTGTGAAGAACCCCAATATACGTCTCTCATGGTGACTGACGTAGGGCCAATTACAGATCAGCTGGGACAACCGAATTCCACGGTCCTGTGCGCAGTTCAAGTAGTAACGGCTTTCGGGTTGACCAAGGGTTGTTGTGCGTTAACGACGGAGAAGCGACGGAGGCAGTTGTGTTGAAGAAATGTGGTACAGGATTATCTACAAGACCAAGCAGTGACGTCGCCCAGCCAGAGACAATGGACGTCTGACTACATATTTCATTTTTTTAGAGTAGGATGATGTATATTTGTTTAGCTAGGATGTATTTTTTTTATTTTCGTTAATA